GTGTGGACAACTATTTCAATATAGATCTGTGCTATTTCAATGGGGATTTGTAGTGTGGATGCATTATTTCAAAATAGTTATTTCAGGAGTTTATTATTTCAAAATAAGCTTGTAGTGTAGACATAGCCTTAGTGTTGAAAACCAGACACTTGGCAGCCCTGTGTGACTCTCACTGCAGGGCTGGAGTCAATTCCAGAAGCTCATAGCAATAAGATAGACCTTTATCCCCTTCTGCAGTGTTCTGGTAGCCCACTATGTGCCTCAAAAATGTAATTTTCAACGCTAGACAAAGTGTAACTACTAATAAACAAGCAGAAGTCAAGTCCCATATTCCAGTAGTTGTGGATGAGACCCTAAATTCCCACATTTAAATATATGTATAATTACTAGCTATAACCAATTTACCCCTCAACAGCCTGACTATTTCCTGTTTTAATAATGATCATTTACTTTGTGTGTATGGAAGAGGTGGCAGAATACTTTTTAATGTCACTGACTGAAAAAAGGAACATTCACTTGTAGTGCCCAGTGCAGAGAGAGACTAGATTGAATTAGTTCCATTTTCTAGAATAGACATTTCCACATCACAAAAAGCACCATCGTAAGTGACCTATTTGTTGGCCTCTCTGAGCAGTGATGCCATAAATTAACTGTACACAAAGAATTAAATCACTATGCAGCATGAGAAGGCGTCCCCATCTGGGCAGGGCATGGCAGGGTGGGGGGGCAAATCGATAAAGCTATATGAAGTATACTTGTGTTGCCACTGTCAATGCTGTGTTTCAGTAGAAAATATCAGCACCAGGCTTGTCTTCCGGCATCTTTCAAAAGCTACAAACTTAAACCAAAGGAAAGGAAAATAAAATGTGATTGTAGCTTGTCTATATCCAGTTCAGCTGCTCTGCTGACTGTCAGATGGTTTTTCATCAGTACTTTGCCTAATTTAGCCTTGACTAACTTTAAAAGATCTCTAGGTGGCAGTCTTATCACAAACCAATTCTACAAGTCAAGTACACAGAAAGGTGTTGGAATTACATTTCATTCGCAAATTCAGTTCTCATGCTGATTGCCTCAATCCTGATGAAGGATGGTTGGGACACTATCAACTTAACAGTTGATGAAGGTGCAAACAGCTCTTTGTCTGTGTAGATTCTAGCATTAGCACCCTTTCTATCTATTACTATCCTTTGATCTGTTTCTTTTCAACTATCCAATCTTCAGGTGTTTATAGATTGCCAGTTCTGCATACTTGTTTTTCCCTTTGGTATTTCTGTACCCTCTGCTCCTTGTTTCCCGCCCCTTCCTTTTTTCCCTCCCCCCCCTCCCATTTATTTTGGGTCTGCACATCCTAAACTCAAAACTCCGGTCATCTGAAGAAGTGGGCTGTGCCCACGAAAGCTCATGACACCATCTACATCAGTGGTCACCAAGCAGTCGATCTGGATCTACTGGTAGATCTTGGCGCCTCTGACAGGGGATCCTGGCTGGTTTGGCCAAGAGGCTACCAAGTGCCGCACATAGCTGCCTCTCCCTGCACTGCTGCACAGCTCCTGCCCTCTGCCTTGGAGCTGTCCTCTCAGGAGCCTCCTGCTTGCTGGGCAGGAGAGGGAGAGGAGGGTGCTGATATCAGGGTGCCCCTCCCCCATTCTGCATCCTATCTCCACAGAGCAGAGAGGGGGACACAACAGGACTTGGGATGGAGTTTGCTGACTGCTTTTGGGAGTGGTGCAGGGCCAGGCAGGGGGGTACGTCTACACTACAGCGCTAGTTCGAACTAACTTAGTTCGAATTAGTTAATTCGAACTAAGCTAGTTCGAACTAACGCATCTAGAACTAAAAACTAGTGCGAACTAGCGTTTTGCTAGTTCAAACTAGCAAGTCCACATTGAGTGGACTCTGAACAGGGCTTAAGGATGGCCGGAAGCAGTGCCGGCAGGGCAT